CCTTGAAGTTTCTCTACCTCCCTTTTTGAGTTCATTCCATGATAGAAGGGGAGGGATGGTTGTTATTCATTGCATTCATTTAATTATGTCCAAATTGTGACCGAAATCATCAAGCAAGCAAATTGCTCATTGATGGTTGTAGAAACGATTCCAACCTTCTCTTGAGGCTTACCTATGGCAGAGAAGTGTGAGAGGGACAAATAGAGCTCAAAAAACTCTTTCTGCACTATTTTCACCTCAGATCACAAAAACAGGATTTTGTATAAAATTAAGGCTCGGCCGGGCTTCATTGGGGTCGACTGGCCATCAATGTTTGGTAAGGCAGTGTGTTTTTGCAGAAGCAGAGGGCAGTGACTGGGGTGGAACAGAGTAACTTGAGCTGACAGAGGAACTCCTGGGTATCGCACATGCAATCGTTGTGCTTTATGGTTGTTTGAATTAGTATTATAATTAGTTATTAATTGTCGTAATTAATATTGTTGTAGCAATGTTTCGTTAGATGGTTAGTTTATTTTATTGTAATAGATTAGCTAGTTAGTTACTTATTCATTCATTCGGTTTTGTAATAATTAGTTTAATTCGGACTTTCGGACATTGATTCACACCCTCTTGCACGAAGGCCAATATGTAATAACGTGTATGTCTTCCAACCCCACATCTTTCTCCCTTTTATTTACCTGCTTACGATGGTTAATATAAAACATTATTTTTCAAATTACCATTTTTATGATTCGCATCCATTGTCTTGCATACATCAAAGGTTCGGCACATCATACTAACCCAATATCAATGTTCCAATTCATTACTTGAATACATGTTTTATCGCATGTCTTGAATGGAATCATATATCATGCCCATAGTCAAGCCTACGAATTACATAATGTGTGCGTTGCATTTAGTCATATTGCATTAATTAGGAGCATGCATATTTTTTTAATTATTTTGCTTTGTTTTGGCTCGGAGTACTAGGTGAGCAATTTTGAGCTTTAGCATCTTGCATCGAATGTTTGTGTTACCATGCAAAGCATACTTCCATGAGGCTAATTGCTTAAATGATATACATGTTTGAATGCTTGTGGATGAAGGTTAGTTGCTTGAATTGGGATAGTTTGATTAATGTCCATTTTAAGCCCATTTTTTCAAGTGGCATATTCACAATACTCTTTTCAAAAAAGCAAGCATGAAATCAAATGTTCCAATTCTTGCAAATTAGTCTATACTTATGTATGCATCACATAGGAAAAATAGCTAATAAATCAGAATAAGAGCATATAACGTAAATAAAAATTACTTCATGATTAATAGAGGCCGATCTTTGATCAAGCGAGTGGGGTGCTCAATTCATAACCTTCTCCTCTCGTACCTGAGTTCCCGAGCCGAGACACTTTGGTGATGACGGATAAGTGGCCTTTGGCACGAGTCTCGGGTTTCCTAAATTTTTCAAAAATATTTAGGTGGCGACTCTGAAATCTGGCAAAGCAGTCCATTTTTAGCATTTGATTCAAATATCGATTTTCCAAAATAATTGTCAGATTTGGACTCTTTTTGTGTTTTCACTGTTTCACATTGCACTTTGTGAAATTAGATTCAGAACCACGGGAGTCCGAACTGTGGGGCTAGTCGTACCCGAAAGGAGCATAAAAAGTCAAGCCACAGACATGCTTAGTTTGCCACTTTTAATCTGTCACCAAGGTTTTAAAAATCGGTGTTATGTAACAATTGTGGTGGTATACACTACCCATTATACCTGATCTTTTGGTGTGATGGAAATTAACAGCTGTAACGGTTGTTATAGCTACTATAGTGGCCGTAACACCCACCGTTACAATATTTTGAACAGTTTCGTTTAAAAAAAAAAAAAGCTTACCAAATATACATTATACACATTCTACACATACTTTTATGCTTGATTGGATGGTGGACCTCTATCATTCAACAAAACCCTTGAGTTTTTCATATTGCAAACCCATGAACCACGTTCAATTGAGAATTTGAGATTTTTCAGACCTGTGACTCCATTTTCAAATTGACTTTTATCTTTTGTAAGGCTAATAATGTATGTGGCATGCTTAGTTTGCCACTTTTAACTTGTCACCAAGGTTTTAAAAATCAGTGTTACGTAACGATTGCGGTGGTAGACACTATTCATTACACTCGATTTTGCGGTGTGATTGAAATTCAGAGCTGTAACGGTCATTACAGCTACCGTAGCGGCCATAACGCCTTATTACATACCGTTACAATATTCTAAACAGCTTCATTTCCAAAAAGAAAAAAGCTTATAAAATATACATTATACACATTCTACACATACTGTTATGCTTGATTGAATGGTGGACCTCTATCATTCAACAAAACTCTTGAGTTCATATTGCAAACCCATGAACCACGTTCAACTGAGAATTTGAGATTTTTCAGACCTAACTCCATGAATATTCAGATCCCCAGCCTTTATAGCCTTTAAAACAATCTTATTCACCGTCAAAACATGGTGATTTTGGGTGTACCATAAAGTTAAATTATTCGATGATAACTTGTGAAAAAATATAAGATATATTGAAAATAAATTATATATTTAAATAACTTAATAAAGAGTACTGAATAATTAGGCATACTAACTTTTGTGTGTGTGTGTGTGTGTAAATAGAATCCCCCTTATCTTGATGGATCATATTGTCCAATCTATTTATGGGACTACAAAGAAGCTTGATTCTATTGTAGGACCCTAGAATGTGTGAGAACTAATAAGTAGTAAGAATACAGATTCAAAAAATAAGTATTGCGTGAAGAATCAGTGTTTAGAAGGGTTTCAGAATCATAGTTCTACCCCTACATTCTATTATGATGTTTGGTTTGAGTTTTGAAAAAATAATTCCACCCCTCCTTTTGAAAATTCGTTCCAGGCGGGCTTTTAAATTTTGAAATTTGGCCTACCGGTCGTCCCCTAGACGTCCGGCTAGTTGACCTGAACAGTGCGATTTTTTTTTTTTTTTTGCAATTGGCACTTGTTTTTTTTAATTTTATTTTATACTTTTAATAAAACAATATTTTTGGAATATTTTAAAAAAATTTATGAGCTTTTAATAGATTTTTGAGTTGTGTGTTTGGTTATGAATTGTAAGTTTTTGTATCAAATATCAGATATCATATGTCACATCAAAAATTTCCCACTCAATTCAAAAAAAAATTCAGAACTCATTCACCAAACAAATTTTCTACACTTAAATCATAATTCTAAAGCTCACAAACTCAAAATATAACTCTATTCTCAAATCATATTAAGAAAACTCTACCAAACGTTACTAGTGTTTTTCTTCTACTTTCCTTTTATTTATTTATTTATTTATTTATTTTTTTTGGGTCTTCTCATTGAAAAATTATATATTTTTATAAATATCATACAAAAATTAATGTACTATTGTAGACTCGACTTTCTTCGCGCGCCCCCCTTTCAGAGGAGGCGCGAATTGGTCTTACTACAGTTCAAACTCCTGTCACGGTTCTGAATCTAATCTCACAAAGTGCAATGTGAGACTGATAAACACCAAAGAGTTCAAATCCCGCAAATCGTTTTGGAAAATCAATTTTGAATAAAAAGGGTCAAACATGGACTGCTTTGCCAGATTACAGAGTCGCTACTTAAATATTTATTTTTGAGAAATTTAAGAAACCTTGACTCGTGCCAAAAGTCACGTGTCCGTCATCACCAAAGTTGCCTCGGCTCGGGAACTTGGGTACGAGAGGGAAAGGTCCTGAAATGAGCACCCTCACTCGCCCAATCAAAGGATCGGCCTCTACTAAGCACGATGTGTTGTTTTATAAACCATGTGTTCTTATTCCGATTATTAGCTAACTTACTATGTGATGCGCACATCATACAAGTATAGACTCAATCGCGAGAATTGAAACAAAATTACTCATGTTTGTTTTTGAAAATGGTTTGAAAGTGCTACTCACAAGTAGGCTAAAGCGCGGATTTGCCACTCTCAAGTGGGCTTAAAACATGATGATTTTGCCACTTCTCAAAGTGGGCTTAAAACTCACAATTATCGAGTTGTTCCAATTCAGGCAATCAAGCTTTCACCTACAGGATTTGTCACTTCTGAAACCAGTGCATTTCTTTTCTAAATTTTTAATGAAATAGGATTTGTCCGTACAGGTTTCAATTGATTCAAAAATCAAGGATATATAATGACATTTTAAAAAATCATACTCCGTATATTAATTATTTTGTAATATAAATTAAATCTCTCTGATTTAATCCTTACATTTTGTTAAGGTCGTATTTGGATTAAGGATTTTAGGAAAGTTTTGTGAATTGAAAAAAAAAAATTGAAAAAAAAGATGGGTTGGCTGTTGTGTAGGGGCACAACAATCACCGTTGTCCATTTCGATGATTCGAACTATTCATTTTTAAGAGTACATTAAGTAGAACATATCTGTAATCAAGTTGATTGAACATGAATTACCCTTTCGTCAAATTGTATGTGTTTAATTTCATTCTTTAAATCTCATTTGCCATTTATTTTTTTAAATAAAAATATAATTTGAAAAAAAAAATTATCGACATCTAATCAACTTAATTTTTTAATTTAAATTATTTATTTATTTACTTCGTCGAGAATTCTTTGTTTCTTTGACTATGCTAGCTTTGGATTCTTTGTTTCTTTGACTATGCTGGCTTTGGATCGCAATGGCAATAATGGTAACGACACATTCCTTTTAGTTCCGAGCAGCCTCAGCCACCTCAGCCAAGGATCAAGCATGTTGGGATGTTCTTCCGTGGTGTCAACGCCGCAATCCCGTGCAGTCATCATCTACTCCGACTGCCTTCTCTTTGTCCAATACTTGAATGCATCCATTCGACCCGCTTTGGCTTGTTTACCACTTTTGCTATACAACAGATTGTATTCAAGCAATTGACAATAGCAATACCAAGTGCAAGTGCAAGTTTACTAGCCTTAGTCCAATGCATGCAAACAGTATAAAAAGAAAACATATATAGAAACTTGTTTTCCGAAATTGAATTACATTATGGAAGAAAGCATGTTCTACAATGTTGCTTCTAATAATAACGTGGAAAATACACAAGCAATAAATAATTTACTCCAGCCAGTCTCTTCAATTTATCCACGGCCCCCCAAAAAAGGAAGGAGAAAAAAAGAAGAAGAAAGAACATAATGTTCTATGAATAATAATTATAAAATCACTCCTGTAAAAAAACAAAATGACTTTTAACCATTCCTTTCCTGCACAATTTTTTAACTTCATAATTAACTCTGACCTCACATACTTCAGCTCGGTTCAGAGAAAGTACTCGACTGAACATTCAGATTTAACAGTTGATTCCACACTGCTGAACATCTGGGCCAGTTACCCTGGTGGTGAAGGGATCAATTCGCACCCATAACAATGAGAAAATGGAAGCAAGCAGAATTGACCAAACCACAACAATCGTGGGTGTTCGGTTCTGGCGCCCCATTAGACCCTTGAGGAAGGGGTAGAGATGAACGATCACCCAAAAAGCAAAGAACAGTTTCCCAAAGAGTGGACCCCATGACTGGTAACCACTGTTGATGGCATATGAGATGCCTGCAACGACACCCACTAAGTTTATTACGAGGAGAGTCGTGGGTGGGATCAGAAGGGTTGTCCATTTAAACATGTAGAGCTCCGTAAAATCTCCATCTTCATCTGATGCCTTGGAGGTGACAGTGAAGTTGGTATCAATTCCAGCAAGCACTTTAAGCAGGCCTTGGAAAACAGCAAAAAGATGAGCTGAAACACCACCAATAACCCAAAACTGTTCATTTCTCCACCATTCGTCTATTCCAACACCGCTCCACCTCATCTCCAATATACCAGTGGCGAAGATGGAAAGAAAGAGGGATATAAACCAGATACTCGCGATGTTACTAATCTGCAACCAGAATGAGGCACAAGATTGATTTATTATTATGGTATGGAATGTACAACTTTCATGCCTTTTCCATGTTACATGCTAATTAGCATCATAAATGCTGTTACAGTTTTGTTTTTATAAATAAACAAGCTGGATTATAATAAAAACATCTCATAACAAAAGCACATTAGATGTTTACCACAAGCTCAAAACAAAACAAGTTAAAAACCTCTGACACGAAGCCTTTCTAATAGTATGCAAACATATTCACAACCTCAAATGTTGGAGGACAAAAAAACCCTTGAGAAACGTTTTGAAGAGAGATTGCAAAGCATATTGACAACTTCCCAAATAGACGGTACAAGTTCTTTGCTATAAAAAATATATATATATATATATATATCATTGTTAACATATTTGTGAAAGTACCAATTTTTTCATTATTTATAATGCCTCAAAAAGGAAATAAAAGAAAGAAGAGGGGAGAGAGATAAGAAAAGTGCATTCAAACACCTCAAAATTTTGGCAGAAGCACAAATTTTGATATTGGCTCATCTCTGAAATTTGTGCAGACACCAACACAAGCATATAATGTCACAGTACACTTGGGAGAAGTTAATCATTAGGGATGAATATAGAAGCAATTCGCATCTTTAACGACTCTGAATACTGCATCCCCAAGTATACATCATATCTCTAGCTATCACTAGAAACAACAGCAATTGCAGAGAGGCTGGCTGCTAAAGAACAGTTCCCCTTCACAATCAAGTGATTTCTTTTTACGAGTTCATTAAATAAAAGAGTAGAGTATGCATGGGGGATGTGTTGAAATAACGAACCTGTGGGATAATGAACTGTCCAGTAAGAAGACAAACAGCTGGCAAAGTACAGTACATAAGTAGAGGGATGGCAGTGATTGGATAAATGGTTGTGTTTATGTATGCAAATCTCTCAAGCCATTTCAGTCTTCCATTATAGCCATACCATATAGGGCAATGCCGACTGAATAGAATTTCCACAGATCCCAAAGCCCATCGAAGCACTTGATTGAGACGATCTGAAAGATTAATAGGAGCAGACCCTTTAAAGGCTGGCCTCTTGGGCATACAGTAAATTGACCGCCAACCACGGGCATGCATCTTGAATCCAGTAAGAATATCTTCTGTAACTGAACCATAGATCCACCCTATCTGCAGATTGAAAGACAAAAATTGAAAATTTTAACATGAGCACAAAACAAAAATAAGGTCTTGAATATATGAAATAAACCATTTTGTTTTTCATATAATGGATGTTGATGAACAGAATTTTGTTGAGTTACTAGCAGTCTGACAGGGAACAAATGGATTTTAAATACATCAAAATTAGCCATCTCTATCCAGTCTACCCCAAACACCCCACATTGGCGGAACACAGTATTTTTGCATGTGTGCGTGTCTGGGCGATGCAACTACTTTTGGGATTCTACAAAGTGATGCAACTTCCACTGAAGTTAACAAAATATAAAAACAATAGAAGATTGGTCCTGATAAGAAGAAAAGAAAGAATTCAAAAGATGAGGGAAATGGAGAAGAAATAAAAGTACAGGAAATTACTTATCACTGGTCCTAACAAAAAAAATATTACAGAATCATGAAAAAAGTTTATGATTTTAATTATTAATGTGTATAAAGTTTACCACTTACCTATAATTTTTTTTTTTTTACTTCTTACACTGAATGGAAATTCCCATAAAAGAACAACAAAGAGAGAGAGAGAGAGAGAGAGCACGCAAAGCTATTATGATTTTCTTCAAAATATAACTCATGTCTTGGGTTTATCACACTAGAAAACCTAAAAATAATTCCAGGATTCTTGCCTTCCTACGGGCAGTACATGGCTTTTCATCACCAACAAATCTTTTGTTCTCCATATTATTTCAGATAAAAGAGCTGAAAAAAAAAGAAAAAACAGAAAAACTTCTTCCTTCCTCATATTTCAGAGATTAATGAGGCACATACTGCAGAAGCTCAACTCCTATGGTATTAAATTTACAACCATAACCTTTATGCATAATCATATGTACAATAGGAATGCTAAATTGGTTACTGAAAGTTATTCTCACTCATTCAAATGCAAACCAGTATGCTGGTGTATCCATCCTATAACATAAAACAGTGCCATTTCAACGCATGAGTGGAAATGATATCTTTCACGTGACATAATTTTTCACCCCAAAGGAGGGAACACAAAGGAAGGAAGGAAAGAAAGAAACAAATAAAAGATAACAAGTAATTTCCTTAGTGCAGTGGTGAGAATAAATAAACTAAATCTACAATGGAGCTAAGGCATTAAACATACAAAAGTACCTCACTTCCCCAGTCTGATTTATCCTCGTACCCACAACTGATAACATGAATAGCCTCTTTAAGAAGATGCTCTGGCGTTGCTGAGTCGGGAAGACCACCATTCTCCATAAGTGTGGATGCAACAAAAACAGTAGATTGACCAAATCTTTTCTCAAGGCTCATTTGTGACATGAGCAATGACTTCTCATCATCAAATCCAGCTCCTGATTTTGAAATTGAATAATAAATAAATGACAAAAAAAAGAAAGAACTCCCTCTATGAACCAAAGCAGTTTACTCGAACAATCCATCATCGAATATGATGTAATCATAATATGCAGGTTCTCATGTAGATAATATTTATTTACTCAAATACTTGAGAATGCAGCATGCATATGAGTAAAAACATGACTTTATATGTATTATGTTCTGATGAGATGAACACACACACGCACACACACACATGTATATATATATGTCCTAAATAGGGAGGTATGAGAAAACCAAGCTTTAGCATCTAACAAAAGGAAATGTACCCAATGGTGGGTAATTAAACATGTCAGAATATCAATTTTGCAACATATATTCCTTGAGCTGGATTACCACTTATATCGCTTTGTATCAATGTTGTCACCTGAGTTGGAGGAGACCAGACAGTCAAATTCACCTCCCTTTACAGGCCCAGCTACCATCTCAGATTGTTAAGCTTACAAGAAACCAAAACAAAGCTTACCCAGCAAAATGACCCAGGTCCACAAGAAAAGCAAAAAGAAAGAAAATTTAAGGAAGCAAATAATATCAAAAGTTGGCATATTTCCAAGGCAAGATCTATAGGAAACCATGCATAGGCATGTTTCTAGTCTTAGTAGAGTCCAATTTTATGAATTTTTGGGTTAGATATTAAGTTGATCAATTTTCAAAATGCTTTTCTAGTTTTTTTGTAGGTTAGGGCATTTTTTGGAATTTTGGAAGATTTTTGGACATGGGCTATATGGGTAGGCCATGGGCCATTCAAGTTATGCAATTGGGTTTTTATTTATGAATCTTATTTAGGTTTAGGTAAGTTTTAGAAGTCAAAAGGTCTAATTTCCGCATATGAAGTCAAAGTTCTATACGGAGTAGGAGTTCTCTAATGTCTGTATAAAGCCATTTATTGCATATAACTTAATAGCATTGAGTTTTAGAGAATTATTGAAGCTTTTGAACTTAGTTGCACAAAGCAAGGGGCAGGGAAGCAAGGGCATATAAACGTTTCTAAGGTGTGGACTGCCTATAGAAGCATGTATATATTTTATATGTTAAAAATATAAATATATTTTAACTTCTTTTTTTTCTGCTTAGCTATAATGTGTTAAACTATGAATTATTATTCGAGAACGATGTCAACTACAAATTGTCTTTGTAAAATATGAATAAATATTATGTAAATAGAAAGTACTTGAGTAAGTTGGTTTTCTTTTGTTTATTTAAGATTTGTATGTTTCAGTGATTCTATTTTAGTTGGGACTCGGGAGTGAGTGTCCTCCTCAACAAGACCAAGTTTCTAACATGTTTCTTACTTGGGAGCACAGTATCTCATTTCTAAGTAAGAAACATGACCCAAGTAGAAGTTTCCTGCTACTGAGCTTTTGAAGCTCTCTTGCAAATTGTGAGATGCAATTCTAGTCTAGGTGTGATGCCTAGATATACTAGTGTTTTATAGAGTTACTTTTTTCTTTATAATTTTTTCAGCAATTTTCTAAAACCACAAAATCAGATCTGTAATAGCCCCTATTAGACCCTCAAGTATCACAGTTCCTCAATCATCAACCTCAGCTTGCAAAAGGTCACAAAACCAACAAGGCCACTGTTCACAGTGCCCAGAACAACCCATGAAGGACCACAGAAGCTTGTGTTTTCATTTTCAAAACCCTACCCTTTTGTTGCCCCATAGTTCACTACTACTGAAAAGGCCAGAGAGATGTTAGCCTTTTGCTATTGGTAAGCTCTGGCTCTGCCTCTCGCAGTTCCATTGTTCCTGTCCTGGCCACTGGGTCTACCCACAACTGGTCCAAGTTCGAGTTCCCCGCCATCACCTAGCCTAGATATGGGGACTTCATACCCAAACCTTAAAAAACCCTATATTTGTTTTAACCATTCAGCCATAGAAACTAATTATTGCATCAACATTGGACTCACTGAATGTAATACCCACACTCATTTTACATCACCGTGTGCTACTCCTTCAACCAAGACTACAAACTTTGCAAGGACAACATGGAATCCTAAATAATAATGGCCCAGTCTTAAAATTCTAATATTGGAAGTGGAAAGTGAAGTAAATAACAATAAAAACCCACACCTTTATTTTCCTATTTCAACAAAACATATCCATACAAAGAAGCTTGCTAGTTACTTCACCTTGTTTTACCATTATAGGACCATATACATATTTAGGCTTATGATAAGAACAACAAGAAATAAGCAACTCTTTTAAGGCATGCATAATTTGTATGCATATTTATGCAATTACATACATATACATAAGTTTACATACTTCACATTCTTTTCATGTCTTTTAGATGTGTTAGTGAAGAAGTTAGAACACATACCATATACTAAAATGATATTTAGTTTTTGTGAAACACAACAAAAGTTTAACCACAATTATGTAATTTTTATTTCTGCAAAAATGCTATTTTAGTGATATGATGGCCTGACAAGATGTCTTAGCAGTTGAACTGGTAACCCAGTTACAACCCTTTAGAGCAATGATGCCTGAGCCAGGTCTAATAACCATGCCTGAAATGGCAGAATAAAAGTCAATGATGTAATGGAGGCAATGGAGCCTAATACAATTTACACCTGTTTCAATCAGTATTTTCAGTTTTGAGACATTGTTAAGATTAACTTTGAGAATCGAAACAGAAATGCAATATCTGATTCAGAAGAAGTGTCAAGAAATCCAACTTGATATGAAGTGTCGAGAAATCCAATTTGAAATAGTGTCAAGATATCTTCAATAGGTAGATTTAACAAGTAGATATACTAACATGAAATGAAACCGTACCTTCAACCCCTTCCTCTATATCCTCTAGATTGAAAATTGGCACTGTGGGATCCACATGCTTGCTAGATTTCTTTTTGTCTGAACCCTTCTTACTTGATTTAGAACTCTTTTTTCGTGATCCACCACAGCAAGAAGAGAAAAACCCAGCTTTTTTATGCTTAGGTTTGAGAGGAGGTTCATAGCCATACAAAGCTGTTCTATTGAAGACACATCCAGTACCCACATACACAGGGCCTTGAATGCCATCCAAACCCCTCAAATTAATCTGACAACAACAAAATAAATAGGTAAGTGAATCAAGGAAGATTTTTAGCCCAAAGGAAAGTGAGCATACAGGCTTTGGTCCCATCACTCATTTGGCAGATCCACGCACATAATTAAGGGAGCCCCTGAAAGGTGACTAAATCACCACAAATAGTGACTATCCAGGAGGCAGTCAGAAAAAGTTATTTAAGGGAGGAGGCATTGTTCAACAAATAATTAGCAGTTCCTGACGACAGATTGAATGTTCTAATCTGTTTTCCCTTTTTCTTTTGATGTTTCAATGAATGTTCGTCTAATCATAAAACATAATGCACCAAACAAGATAACATACTGCTAGTATCCTGTATGAAAGTAAATAATAAAAAGTGGGCAAGCCTAAGAGAGAACGGAAAGTGAAATGAAAAGTATCCAATTTTGTTTATGGCTTGGGGGCTTTCAATTCGCTCTTGATCTTATTATTAGTTGGGAAGGGAGGAGTCTAAATCAACGAACAGTAACAAACCATCATTAATGAAGATTGTATGACACAGTCAACTGAAGGCATAAATGCAAGAAGGGATGAGACAACTTACATCAAAGAAAACAGTATTACGATTGGCATATCGATCATTCCTATCAATGCCATCAAATCTCTGTGGAAACTGAACATAACAGACATATTTCCCAAGGTTTGGATCCATCATAAAACACATAGCTTCTCTAAGTGCCTTGCTGTTGTTTATGTAGTGATCACAATCAAGATTCAGCAAGAAAGGTCCATTAGTAAGGACTGCTGATACTCGAACCTACAAGAGAGTAACATTGACCATTATAGGTTACAGATGCCTACAGACCTGAATAAGCACAGACTCTGATTTTTAAATACTCACAAGGGCATTCATAGCACCAGCTTTCTTGTGATGTTGGAAACCAGGACGCTTCTCACGAGAAACATACACTAATCGTGGCAGCTCATTACCATCGCTGTCAAGGCCACCACTTTGACCCAAGAAAACCTGCAAATAAGGATACGTAATCAAAAACAAAATGGTTGTGCATAAAGAAGCAACATGGATTACACACTACTTCAATTGACAAATGATTAACAAGGTAAAAACCATGTAAGAAATAGGAACTCAAGGTAAGCTGAAAGAACAAAACTATAAAACAAATTGCAAATGCAAGAAAGAGAAGAACAAAATTGTGTGTGTGTGTGTGTGAGAGAGAGAGAGAGAGAGAGAGAGAGAGAGAGAGAGAGTTTGAGGTGGTGGGGTAGGAGATGTGAAAGAAGAGGGGCAGGGGATTTTAGGCAGAGGTTCAAGTTTGAGAAGGGAGGTTTTGGTAGCAGATATGGAGGTTGTAAGGGATTGGAGGGGATTGTGGATGTAAGGTCAAAAGTAGCAAGGTTCAGCAAGTCTTATTGTGGAGATGGGACAGTTGATGCAAATTTGGAGGGTGATGGGTCTGTACTTTCCCAATCAATGAGGGTAAAATAGATGGAGGCCTGTAGTGGAGAAGGGAAGGGAAGAGGCTAACAGGAGAGGCTAGGCATCAACAGCAGAGGGTAGAGAGTCTTCAAGGCAATTGATTGGGTTGGATTTGGATGAAAGGAAGCGTAGAAGCCAAAAGGATTCATGCAAGGGAGTTGAGCCAGAAGAGGAAGATGAGTTGGGTGTTACTTTGAGATGGAGGAGAATTCTGAAATTAAGCAGAACATAGGGGAGGCTTTGTTTAATGGGGAAAGAACGGAGGAGGAGAAGGATGTTATTGAGCAAGTAGGGTCAAGCTGTTAGTTTTTGGATGATCAGTAGAGGCGAAGGAGGTAATTGGGGAAGAGGCGAGGTTGATGGGGAAGATGGAGGTTTTACTGATTTGAGGAAGGGGGTAGTGAGTTTTCATCTATGAAGCACGGGTGCAAGTACGGATATTGGTACTAGTACAATACGGGTACGCTGATACGGCAAAATCTTTAAAAAATATGATACTGGTGCGGCTAAGATACATCAATAAATTTTTTATTTTTTATAATTTATAGTTTGAGATCCAATTTACAAATCAAATTTCAATACCAAAAGTAAAAACAGAAATTACAAAACTAAAAGAGAAATCATAGTTCAACAATACCAATACCAAAACAAAGTCTATAAGCTGTTTTAATGCCATTAAATAGGAGAAATTATAAATAAAGTTTCATTCCAAAAGCAAGCTAAGCACAATTTAAAAACTTGAAAATTTTAGTTTTCACTTCCATTAACTTCGTTGTTGAATAATATATCTTTCATCTATGGCACATCAAGTAAAGGATTTGCCTAAGAAGCATGGACACGGACACGTGACACGACACGAGTACGACACGGACACGCCAACACGTTAATTTTCAAAAAATGTAGGACACGACACGAGGAGGACACGCATGAAATATATAATTTTATATATTTATTATATGTTATATATATATGAATATATCATTCAAAGATAATAAAAAATGCAATATGACACTAATTCTTATAAATTTATATGGTTTTTATTTTATTATTGTATCTTAAGTTATTTTGTTCAAACATAAAATTAGTTTTACGTATGTCTAATCGTTAGACACGTGTGTTTAAACGATTGACACGTGTGTCCTTCAAGTGTCCAAAGAGTGTCCAAGTCTTTAAACAATAGGACACGTTTTGAAGAGTGTCGGACACGTGTCCTGAGAGTGTCCAAAGAGTGTCGGTGTCCGACACGTACCCGACACGGATACGTCACCTTCCTAGAAGTGTCCGTGCTTCTTAGGGATTTGCAATTTCAAGTAAATAAAAACTCTCTAATAAATTAAACGTATCCTCACCAATATCCCATATAGCTTGGTGTACTCCAATATACCCATGCAGTACCCATCTGCCAAAGAATGTATAAAAAGTACCTGGTAGGTATTTCGAGTACCCGGTACACATACAGCCCTATCGGTACAAGTATCCGTACCCAATAAGTACCCGGTATGAGTACGGCAACATTTTCGAAGTACCCATGCTTCATAGGTTTTCATTATGATCTCCCTGTTTGCAGGAGGAGGGGTCATTGATATAGAGGAAAGTTTCTCATCTCAGTGTGAGGCTTCATTTGAACATGACGACAATGGCCTTTTAATTCTTTAGAAAGTAGATTTGAACAGTGGATGAGTAGAGATGTTTACAATCGCTAATGATGAGGGAGGTTGCTTGAGCCATGAACAGTTCAGTCAAGTGATTAGGAAGGTGAGAGAGTTGTTGTGGTGGTAATAAGGTGGATGAGAAGATTGATAGTTGTATTACTGTTGAGAAAAAGGAACTTCAGAATTCTACTACCATGGAGAGGGATGAGATTAGGGAAGCTAGTAAAGCTATAAAAAAAAATGACGGGAAGGGGGAAAGATATCTTCTAGAAATGAAAGAGAACTAAATAGACTTTAATGTGGGGTGGACAAAAGAGGGAGATTGAGTCCCATTTTGGAGAAAATACTTTAATTAAAAAAGCATCTTAATGCCTTTTTTTATTTATTTTCAAGGATGATTTTAGAACACAATTTAAACAAAAACATTTGGATATCAAATTGGGAAAGTGAGTTGAGATAAATATAAATTGATGATAGATGTTGAGAAAACTCCTTTCATGAAATGTAGCATAATTGAGACAATTCAGGGGTTGGGTGTGAATGTATTTTTGGGTGATAATAGTTGTATCTAATTTTGCATTTTTCTCTTTTCTTGTTTTCTTTAGTGTTGGGAAACTAAGAAATAACATGCACATAAAATTATTGTAGTTGAGATGAGAATGCTTAGATGGATATGTGACAGTAAAATTAGAAAATATAGAATTGAAAATAAATTTATTCACGGAATGGTAGGAGTAATACTTATTGAAGACAAGTTGAGAAATAACGGGTTAAGATGGTTTGGTCATGTGCAACGAGGATCTGTAGATGCAACAATAAGGAAGAGTAATAGGATCATAAAAAATGGAGTTGCTAAAGGAAGGGGAAGACCTAATACATGGGATACAGTAGTGAAAGAAGATATACATTTATTTAATTTAACTGAGTATATAGCCCTTAATAGAGTTGGATGGCCAAAAAAGATCCATCTCCATGTAGCCAACCACACTTAATTGAGACACAAGGCTTAGTTTGGTTAGGTTTGTTTTCTGTCTTTTTTCTTTTTCTTTTTATTCAGTTGTTCAAGGGTTGTCCCCCTTTGGCGCGTTCTCCAATACAATTTTCTTTGTTTCTGATCAGAAAGAAAGAGAGAGAACAATATGCATGACATCAAAGTTATTGCAACTAATTGAGAGAATAAATGTTTATATTTAACATTATCACAACACCAATGTGAAACTGAAGTTACCTGAATCATGCCAGGATGGTCCCTAGTATTATTTCCAGGCCATGGTGTGCCATCTTGCATGAGCCATCCTTCTTCAGGGACCTTCTGGGCCTTAGCAACGAGCCCATTGACACGAACTTTAAACTCTTCATATTCCCTCTGGAATGCAAGCACACAAAGAAACATCAAAAGGATGTCTTACAGAAAGGAGAAATTACATATGTGTATATCTATAGATCCCCCACCTTCATTGCCCTACGATCTTTGACAAATGATGTTTGAACTTTATCCTTCAAGTAGTCAATCTTTTGAGCAAAGTACCATTCTGGAGCCCTTGGCTCTATGTTATACTTCTTGCAGAACGGGACCCATTTCCTTGCAAATTCTGATGTTTCCGACAGAGCTTCAAATGTCAACATAGCAGCTCCATCGTCAGAGACATAGCATGAGACCTTGTCAACTGGGTAGTCAACAGCAAGAATAGATAACACAGTATTGGCTGTAACAAGAGGAGGCTCCTTTAAAGGATCGACTGTACTGACAAAAATGTCAACAGCAGCTAGTTGTGATGGCTCTCCTTCTCGGTCATATCTGTAACCATGTAACTTCAAGTTAAAGATCTGAGGGGCAAAGGAACTCATATGATACAAAGTAGAAGTATAATGGGGACCAACTTATAATTAAATAAAGGTGGATAACCCGAAAAATCATCTCACCTAAGTGCAAGCCTATCAAGATATGTTTCGCGGTTCACTGGAAGCCATTTAGGGAACTGATCCAATATCCAGGATAAAGCAAACCAAATCTCACATATCACAGATACCAACCACAGAGCATAGGCATTGGGCACAGGATTTGTTATCCGATAATGCAAGAAAATGCAAAGAATAGCGAGCCGCAGAACAATAACCATCCTGTAAGGATTTATCCTGGATGACGGAACAGAAACCTTCCTAGAAAGAGGCTGCCGAGCTTCATCATTACTGCACAAGAAAGGAAAATAAGCACGACAAATAACCCTCGCTACAAAAGATATTGAAAAAGAAGTAAAATGACAAGGAAACTAAACTTTAAAAAAAATCAACGTGAATGGAACTAGAAGCTGCGTCAACCACATGTCTAGAACAAACATTCCTTCTTTTTTTTTTGATGTGGAGAACCCACACTTAAGTAGCACATAAATTACATCAGTTTTAGTTGTAGATAGAAAAATGAAAGGAAAAACACACACACACAAGTCAAGCAGTTATGTTTAACCAAGCAATCAGGAAAATTTATTAGCATTTGCAAGAAATTGCTTAAGCTGTGTAGTTACTGTCGTAATGAACCCAAGAAAAGACATGTTGAGAATTCACATATGTTTTGAGCTGACAACATGAGCCACAGAGAAAATACAATTAAACTAAACCAGGGTGCAGCAAAGAATTAATGAAATTCATTGAAGTGAGAACCTACAGCAAAGAGTCATCCACAAGCACATCTGTGCTGGCATCAATATCTCCAGCTCCTCTCTCAGAAGTAGCATGACTAGTGGTCATGGGAACAACATTCTTCTCCTGCTTCATCTTCCAGCCATCAACTCTTTCTTTCCAGGCCACATTACCTAATCCTGGGGACCCAAACTCTCTCACTGGATCCACAACTCTAATATTAGCTGCAAAAAGCACATTACCAAGAAACTAGAATCACATCAGGAAAGAAATACATTATGCAAAAGAGATATACGTTCAGGAGATATACGTGATTGATTCATGTCTCCAGAGTAAGGGAGCGGATGTACACGCTTACCCACACCACCAGGTCCAGGAGATGAGATAGAAATACGCTCAGGAGATGCTGCAGATAACTCTCCAGAAACCTTTAGAACAGATAAATAGGAACAATTAATTTTCAAAGGAGATCACGTACAAGTACAAGATAGAACAGTAGATGGTTTTTGACAGACCTCCTGTCCATTAGTAAGCAGAGGAATGTGGCTATGGGAAACCTCTTTATCAAAGTTTGGAGCCCCAATTTCTTCTCCTCGTCCATACGTCATGTGCCAGCTCAACATGCGCTCTGCGACCTTCTGCTTCTCATTTTGATTTTGTGAATTGTAATGAATATCATTTGCACCAACATCAGCATCACCGTCCTCCTCTGCATCACCACCAATAGCTGGGCTTCCTGGAATCAACACCATGAATGAGAACTGACATTCACAGGCATAATGTCCAAGACCTTAACTTATTTACTTAACAACTGCTTAAAAAAATAAGTGGATTACTCGAGAAAACATCATAGACAGAAGGTCAACCAGTAGTGATAACAAATTCTGGCAGCTCGGAATTAAGAGCAAATCTTCCTTAGAAATGTCTAGAACACTATCTCATATATAAAATCAAAATGTTTGTAAAAAGCAACTAATGATTAACACACCATAGCACATTACATGTGCTTAAGGGATATAAGAATATCTCCTCTCAGGGGCAGCACTCCAGACATTCTAGGGTGTTCTCTTGAACAACCTGAAAAAAATATAAAGCTGTATATATGTTGGATTGTTAATTTGTCACCTTTGAAAATAAAATTGTGAACACCCTTCACCTACTACTACTAGTATGAGCTGGTTGCTCTGAAGACTATGAACCGAACTTAGTCCCCCAAAACTTTTTTCACCCTTCTATAACAAGTCCACTCAACTCCAAAAAAGTAAGGTGTGTTTTCTTTATTGGTTTTTGATGTGTTGAGGTGTGTTTAAAATGCTTTTAAATCTTCTGGAGACTTTCCACTTGAGTTGTTTGTTTAAAATGCTTGTTGATCTTTGTATTTCTCTATTGAGAGACTATTGTGATTGTTTGTACTACAAGGCCATGTATTTTGAACTTGATTGTAGGATCTGTTTTTTTGTTAATAATCTTTTTTACTTGTCAAAAAAGATGTTTATTTGTGCCAAATTGGTATCCACCAAATTCAATTTATTTTTTATTTTTTATTGATTCTGCCATTATGGATAGAATTTATCAAAAAATATATTCTCAACATATTTTTTTTTGATGAATGTGATTTCTTTAAGATAATTTTTAAATTTAACTTTTTGAATGTTTATCCTAAGAAAAAATTCTACAGCTGCTGCTGTCTCCTCTTGTTTCTAGTTAAATGGATTATTATTTAGCTAAAGCTTAGAGACAAATAGATATATCACTAACACACGTACAGATATACAAGTAACTTGCCAAACCACAATATATATAAACATATATATAGTGAGATAATGCTTAACTGTCTTAAACAAACCTTTATGTCTCTTGTATCGGGTTTTGCATTGAGGGCAGGACTGATTTCCATCCTTCCTCTCATACTCATAGCAAGGTCTGCAAACAGGGAATGCACAGACATCACAAGCAATGAATGGTTCACCACCTGCAGTCACGCCAACATTATCACCACAGATCTGGCAGACTTGACCACCCAGGTTCTTCAAGGACTTCCCCTGAGAAAACACAATGGCCAAACTCATTCAAAACCCCAATAGTGTAATGACATGAAAGGTGTCAATCCAAATCTACAAACTCAACAACCTAGACCAAACTAACAGACCAAAATATATAGTCTATAGATATGTGGAAGAATTATATAATTATTCATAGTATAGAATCCAATAATTGCACCACCAAGGTCAAAACAAAGAGACCCAATCAAATAGAGAACAAACAAATTCACAACATATGGATAAAATTACAAAATTAGAATGGATCAAACTGCAAATCAAAGGGAAAGTGTTATAGTTTTTGTGAATACTAACCCCACTTTCTCCTTCTGACTCCATTGTCAATTCCCTTTGGATGAGAACAATGGAATAGAATTAGGCTTCAGTCTGAGCAAGATATATAGACAATTAACATATCCAAAGCATTATAATCCAAGTGCAGATAAATCAATTGGATCTTCTTTTCTGAGTCTTCCACTTCAAAAGCAAGCCTCTTACTAAAGTCTTCTTAAATTACAGCCCAGATCTGAGTGAAAAAACCTAGTGAATTGCTAAGAAAACAGAGAGAAGGAATTGAAAATGTTAGCTTGGATTATGCTGTGTTTTCTGAGCAACCGAGCAGAATAAATGAGCAAAATTAACAACAAGACGAGAGAATAAAAGAAGAGAATACCTTAGAGATCTCCGACACAAAACGATGCAAATGGCTTTGGAAAATCAAAATCCACACAAGGAAATTCGTCCACCAAATGAGGCTTAATTGATCAAGAGCAAGATCAAGATCAACCTTCAAATAGAGAAGGCGAAAGTCGAATTGAAACGTGGAACAATGGAGATCGAAGCGGTGTCTATCAGGGGGGATCGAACTGAAATAGTATTGACTGAAGAAGCACACCAATAGAGAGAAAACAACAGCTCTCTCTCTCTCTCTCTCTCTCTATCTCTCTGTGTCTAGGCGCTTGTGTTGTGTTGTGTTGTGTTGTGTTGTGAGTAATATAGCTGTAATATGAGAATAGAAAAATTGGATTAGGAGAGACGAAAGCAACGTAGTAACGACTGTGAGTAATCACTCCACCGACAGTGCTGCGTGGAGATAGAGAGGGTGGGAGATTTATGGCTTCTAGTTATTATCTCAGAAAATTGGAAGAAATTGCAAGTAACGCTCCACATGGATAAATTACAATAAAAATGATTGGCAGCTTGAATTAAAGCCTTGTTTGTCTTTCTTTAAAAAAAAGAAAGTCAAAAATTAAAAAAATTATTATTCTATTTAAATCATATTATCTTATTTAAATTACATAATTTCTCTAATATATCACTTCAAATCCAATTTAATTTTATAAAAAATTAAAAAATACACTAATTTAGATCATCTCAAACCACCATTTAAAATTATTCAAAATTTTGAATTTGTATTTGTCAGAAAATTATCTGAACAATCATCCCGGATGACTAGTAGTCTATTGTTGGGGTGTTTGGAAAAAGTTTTTTTTGGGTTAAATAAGTACTAAAAGATAAAATAGGTTAAAATAGTTAATAAAATAAAATGTCGTATCAAATTCATAATCATTTCACTTTTTCTCTCACAAACATCACATCCAATTATAAAAAAATTTAATTATCTTCTCAAACATAAAAATTTTAACCTCCTAAATAGACAAAAACTAAAATAACCTATTAAAATAACAAATTTCCAAGCACTCACTGTATTTGTCACAGTTTTATCAATTCCGGGCTGTTATTTTTTACCAATTAACCGATCGGACAATCAATAAATAAAATTTAAAAAATTTGAGCAAACTTAAATTTAAGCTGCCAATGTTAAAAGTTAGAAAGATTGATGGATAAATGGATGGGAAATATGATAGATCAGCAGACGTTAACGTAAACGGTAATAAAAAATAAAGTAAATTACACATACTTTTTTTTGAGATTTTTAATAATTATAAAAACCGTCCATATACTTTCAATAATTATAAAAAAAAATTTATTTTTAAAATTATCATTAAGATTCATTAACTGTTAATTTTTTATTTATTTATTTAACAGAATATGCTGATGTAATGCTGATATTATATACTATGAGTAAAAAAATTTAAAATTACTCTTATATATTTAAATAATGCATTTGACTCACTTCCCCTGAAATTTTACAAAACAATTAATAATGACTCATACATTATTTTAATAATGTTCAACAAAATTATTAAATTCTATGCAATATTTGAAAAAATTCTAAGTTGTTAAGATATTATAAAAATATTTAACCAAAAAAAATATAATTTTCATTGATAAAATATTTAAAAAGAAACCATATTTCTAAAATTAATGTTATTATAGATAATACTTTAATAATTCCATATAAGATTTTTTTCACATTACATAAATAACGTAAAATTTATCATTTAAACTAACGTATTTATTGTTTGAATTTTTTATTTATTTAAGAAAGTCAAATCAAATTAACTTCCTTATTTTTTATTTTTTTAAATAAAATGAACTGATAAAGGGATATTTATAATTTCTGTTCAAAAAAAAAAAAAAACTCCTTGAATCCATGGAGCAATCCTTGAATATTGCATATATTTGTACTTGAGTCATGTTTTGCTCTATAATTTGGATATGTTTTTAATGCTCTATATTTTGCTCTATAACATGAAATAATCTTAAGCCTTTCGTATTCGGTTCATCAATATATATAAATCTATAATAATAATAATAATAATAAATTAGATATTAACATATTATATCTTACATGTTTTATTAAACCCTAACTTAGATGAATAAATGTGTTTAAATAATAAATAAAAATTCAATCTATTGTAAAATGGGAATCATTGCTCATTTCATTACATAGAACCAAATCCTTTATAATGACAAGCATATATATATACACAGTAGCATATCACCCGTGTTATGCACTAGATAAAATAATAATTTTTTAATAAAAATATGGTAACTATATTTAATTTTTTTATATTATGTAGAGAAATTTAAAGGGGTGAATCAGTGAAACCAAAAATGATTCAGCTTAATCGGCTAAGTCAAAAAATCAATCAATTTACGACAAAAATAATTAATTAAAACCTTTAAATTTTATTTTATAATTTAAATCATCTTGAACTGAAACATGCACAATACTATAATATTAAATGAGAGTATAAGATTTATTTTATATAAGTGAAACAACTCACTTTTTATTTCTTTTTTCAATGTGTGATTGTAATTATTCTAAAGTTAAATATTATGAGAGTCTCAAAATCTCATGGAAAATTATTTTTAAAATCAAAAAGTCTATACAGGATTGTAAAATAAAAGTTAAATAGAAAACTAACCAATAGAGATTTTTTTTAATTGTTTAAAATTAAGGGGAAAAAAAAGTTAGTATTGGTTACAGGGTTTCTCATTAAAAATCTTATTTTGCTTATATAAGTAGGAGCATAAGATTCACTTTATATAAATGAAACAATTCACATTTTCCTTTTGTTCCCGATGTGGGATTGTAAAATTAAAGTTAAATAGAAACTAATCAATGGAGATTTTTTTTAATTGTTTAAAATTAAAAAAATTTCAATAATTTATATAAAATGTAACATAAGATTCATTTTATGTAAATGAAACAATTCACTTTTTCTTTTTCTTTTTTTCAATTTGGGATTGTAAAATAAAACGTAAATGAAACAATTCACTTTTTTTTTTTCTTTTCCCGATGTGGGATTGTAACGCTTTATATAAGTGAAACAATTCACTTTTTCTTCATTTTTAAGTACCTCAATCATCTCATAAAATTTTAAAAAAATTAAAAATACCTTTACATTTTATGGTCAACTTAAATTTATCATACTCTATCGACAAACCAAATTTTACTAATACAAGAATTTTTTTCCTAATGTACTTACTGAAATAAATATAAAAATTTAAATATTTCATTTCAATTTTTTTTTTGTCACATTGTCTTAAAAATAAAAAGAGATAGAAGATGAGTGGGAGAGAGGAAGAGATACCAAAAAAGATAAGATTGTTATATCACTTAACAAACTGTAGTATGATAAATTATAATTATGAATTTCGTTGATAATGTAATAATACTTGACCGAAAGTATGATTTTTGTAATTTTAGAAAGTTCATTTTTTAAATTTTACCAATTGAATTATTATATATCTATTTGTTATATAATACTTAGGACTAAACATTAATAGCAACATAAAATAAAATAAAATAAAAATTGTGTAACTCGTACTAGTTTCAAAAAACCAAGCGATTCTTGTGAGCGAGTGCATAAATGTTTACACATTCGGAAGGATAAAATGGAAAATTTAAATAACAAACAAAAACTCCAAACAATTAAAAAGCTCATTACTAAATAAATTAATTTTTTTATTTCTTAAAAAAAGTCAAAAAAACCACTTAAAAAGATAATTCCAAACCCTCTTTTTGTTAAAAAAAAAAAGTTAAAACTTACTTAATATTGTTTATATATTTTAAAAAACAATTAAGAAAATCAAAAAAAATGAGTATGAAATATTGATCATAGGGTTTTTCACTAAAAATCTTCTTTTGCTTATATAAATGAGAGCATAAGATTTACTTTATGTAAATGAAACAATTCATTTTTTCTTTCTTTTTCCGATGTGAGATTGTAAAATAAAAGATAAATGGAAGTTAGCCAACAGGAATTTTCTTAATTGTTTAAAATTAAGAAAATCCAATAATTTTATAAATGGGAGCATAAGATTCAGTTTATGTAAGTGAACAATTCAATTTTTCTTTCTTTTACCGATGTAGGATTATAAAATAAAAGGTAAATGGAAACTAGAAGACAGGAATTTTTTAAATTATTTATAATTAAGAAATTTCAATAATTTTAGAATAAGGGTTTGGAACTCCTAGAACGCTTCTCCCTAAAAATCTTATTTTTCTTATATAATATATAGATAGATAGATAGTGAAACAAACTTTGTTTTTTATTCTTCTCTCGATGTGAGATTATAAAATAAATCATAAACTAATTAGAGTTTTATTTTTATATAGTTAAATGAAAGTTAACCAATGGAAATTTTTTTAATTGTTTAAAATTAATAAGATCAATATGAGAAATCGCGATTAAACCAGCGAATCGGTCAAACCAAAAATGGTTCAGCCTAATCGATTAGGTCAAACGGCCAACCAACTTTTACAAAAATTAATTAATTAAAACTTTTAAATGTTATTTTAATTTTAAAATTTAAACTATCTTGAATTGAAGTATACACAATACTACACTATTAAGATTCACTTTATATAAGTGAAAGAACTCACATTTTTTTTTTCTTTTTCTTTTTCCGATGTGAGATTATAAAATAAAAGTTAACAATTATTTGGACGAAAAATTTATTTCTAATCAAACAATCTCAGTCTTTCAATCTTTAATCAGATTAATTTTTAGTTTATTTCGAATTAAACAAATCTAATTAATATATTTTGATAAAACCGTTAAAATCGCGGTTAAACCAACAAATCAATCAAATAAAAAATGATTTAGCCTAATCGGTTAAGTCATAATTAATTAATTAAAACTTTTAAAATTTAAACTATATTGAATTAAAACATGTACAACACTATAATATTAAATGGGATGAGAGTATAAGATTCACTTTATATGAGTAAAACAACTCATTTTTTTTCCGATGTGGGATTATCAAATAAAAGCTAGCCAATAGATATTTTCTTAATTGTTTAAAATTAAGAAAATCAAGAAAATTAGTAAGAGATATTGAAACTCTCACAAGCTACTCACTAAATGGGATAGGAGTGTAAGATTCTCTTTATATGAGTAAAACAACTCAATTTTTTTTTTCTTCTTTTCCCCATGTGAGATTATCAAATTAAAGTTAACCAAGAGAGATTTTCTGAATTATTTAAAATCAAGAAAATTAAAATGAGGGGTTTGGAGCTCCTAGAAGGCTTCTCACTAAAAAGTACATTTTCCTTATATATATACT